ATACGTATATATAATACAATACCGAAAGTGTAATACAAAACTTGATATGGAAATATACAGAGATTAAACAAGACTTGCTGCTCGCTGTGACTGCTGCTCTTCGGCTGTGTCCATCAGGAGAAAGATTTCTATTGAAATACTTTAGAGGTATTCTCAGGGTGCACTTGAAGCGCTTTTTTGTGCCCCAACTTTACTCTTCCTAGAGGACTTTCAGTTCAGAATAGAATACAACTACCTTTGGGATTCTGAAACCAAGCAGTTTTTACGATAGCTGCCCTGCTAATTTGAGTCCTTTTAATATAAACTTTCGGTTTTTGCCAGTTGAGAACTTCGGCGTCTGGAACTTTTTCCTGTCATATGATGCCAAAAATTATTCTGTGACATTTCACGTTGAAAGTGGTAAGCTTCTTGGCATGACGTTGGTGCATTGTCCAGTCTTGGCACCGTACAGCAGTTTTGGGAATACTTCTAGTACGAAGATCTCTCTGAAACTTTCAGTATTTCTCAAGAAATCATTCTGACAGACTGGTAAGCAAAGCGTGCAGATCGGATTAACGAGTAAATTTCCTCTTTGGAACGTGGTGGCATAGAGTTCCATACGTCGCATGGATACGATAGTAAAACACGACGTACGGATAGGGTTATTTTCAAGGGGGAGGATTTGCACAAAAACTCCAGAGGGAGGCTGGAAGAGAACGTCTGCCTTTGTAGTGCTTATTGTGAATCCAAAGTTCTCGCACGCCTTTATTTAGAAAAGCTCAAGATAGTCTTTTGAATATTGGAATCTTCATGAGCAAACAATGCACAGCTATCAGCAAACAGTAGTACACAGATATGAATCAGTATGAAACATATAAGTCTATACAAATTGTATATTCCTGAATGTTATGTATATCTATCGTTATAGGTACCTATCTACAGTCTATACATTGTCTGTATATTGACTTATGTCTACATGTAGATGATAAATCGATGACATACAGACAGACAGACAGATAGATAGATAGATAGATAGATATATAGATAGATAGATAGATAGATAGATAGATAGATAGATAGATAGATACGTACGCTATTCGTCGTTGCAAACAGAAGACACAAGTTCGATTCTCGAGTGAGGAAGCTTTCTTTTTCTTTTATCGAGTCTCCGTCTTTGTATAGTGATGTTGTATCTGACTAGCCCCAACAGAAGCCTTGTAAATTAATGATAGTGTTGAAAAGGAACTTAAAACGTGTAAATTATGTGCATAACATAATATAGATATTATGGCTGTAAAAACATTTAGTAACAAAAGCTGATGAGTATTGTGAGGAGTAGTGAACCAAAGCATAGATTCTAGAACCCTATAAGGTAGAACACGGTTTGTAACTATGTTAAAATAAGACGAAAAATGAGTAACAACTAAG